CCAATCATGATTAAATTTGTACTGAAAGAATCCCTCGGTTATCAAGCCCATAAGATTGCTGTGTTCTTGAGCAAAAGCAGATAAACACAGTAACTTCTTCAAACAGCAGCTCTCAACAGATGTCAGTGGGCTTTTTTTTCATCTCTGCAAAACATCAGCTTAAAAAGTTGCATTTGAATTTTAGACGCAAAAATCATTATTCCTTTATGGTTGTGGAATTTCAGAACACCCGAATGCTCTCATCCAACATCTGTTCAAAAAAATTAAGAACTTCTTTTTTGGGTAAGATCTAACCTGAACCCCACATTTTTGGCTAAGTTCTGACAGTAGACCGAAGGTAAAGATTGGAACTACAGACCTAAGTTAAAAACACGGACATGGATTCTTCTAATGAATTTAAGAGATTTTTGAAAAACAGAGATAACACAAAGAATTGATGCGTATCACTGCCTGGCCACAGGAGAACCTTGACAAACTCACCAGGGCTAGGTGCTGCTCCTGTTCAAAGTATCTGGAAAAAAAATGCTGAGGACCCCAGGGCTCGAGACGTTCGTATCCAGGTATCCGAGAGCTGCGAAAGGCATTTGCCCCTTCTCTGGGGAGTGCTGGGTCATTAGAACCTCCCACATAAAGCACCGGAGTTTAATGCATCAAGACATATTATTGCTACCAATGCAGGGACAGAATGGAAAAAAGCCAGCAAGGTTTTTAATGTAGGGAAACTAGCTGTTCTGTGCTCCTTACTCTACAGTTTGTAGTGAGACAGAAATCCTCTTGATTTCAAAAGGATTAAAAAAAAAGACATTTGCTGAAATGACTAGGAGGCTTCCTGCGCAGGAATTTGATCATTCTGGCTACTGCTTCAACATTTTTCAGGTTTAATGTGCTTTACATGGAAATAGGCTTTAGCAACAATTTAACAAATCAGTGCTGACAGACTTTAATCTTTAATCCTGCCATATACTGTCTTCAATCATATCATCTGTTTTCCTCATGTGTCCCGTTGATGTGTATGTTTTATTTACAAGCTTAATAGATAATAGTGCCACTAATGAATATTTTGGCTAGATTTCAACCAACTCACCAGGGGATACTGAAAATATACAAATCAGCATGCTGGGGCAAAGAATAATGCTAAGTTGAAATATTCTAAGACATTCACAATATGATTTTTTTAGTAATAACAAACTAGTCTTGTTACTGATTGAAAAAGTAATTTCTGAAGTGGTTTAACTCATTGTACATAAAATAGCTTATTCTGAAAGGACATTATCAGATGGAACAGAAAATTGAACAGTGATGGGATTACAGTAGAAAGGAGGCTCACAAAGGCTTATTTCCTGTTTATGGACAGAAGACTCATTAGAGAAATCTTGACAGACTGTTAGGTACCAAGAGGCTTAAAATTTTAGGAGAAAAACCCTCTTTCATGTGCTTAGGTCTGGGACAATGAACAGTAAGTTTGAGCTGGAATAACCTGTAACTGAATAAAAATTAGGATTTAGTATTTTCTCTGATTATTTATAAATTTTGTGGGGAATTTCAAGGAAACACTTCAATTTCCCCTCTCCTTTTACCTACTAGCTATTTAAAAACTGAATTGATGGGGGGAAAAAAAACCCAACCAAAAACTATGACGGACGTTTATAAAATAGGTACTACATTTTACCAAATAAAGCTTGTGATTTAATTATATAGATTATAGATTTTAAAACAGCATTATTCCAGGAGTAGGCAATAAAAGGCAGTCTGTCCTGTGAATATGCAGCAATTATTTAAGAATTGGTTACAGAAGATACAGTAACTTTAGTCTTCTGAATGCGTGCATTGTAGTTGGTTTTAACTTCATAGTCAGTTAAGTTCTCTTGAGGACTGTCAAATTTGCTTTCCTAATTAGATGTTACTTATGCATTAACAAGGTTAGCTATAAAGATAAGTCACTACAAGGAGAGGGAGACTTGATCTGAAAGTGGAAACGTAGTGTGTAGCACTCCAGATTTCCCAGCAGACCAGAGGTTTCTAGTTCTGCTCACCAAAGCGCTTTTATGTGATTCA